TTAGTGAAAATAAATTTTATCAATTTGACCACATATGAAACTCTGCATTTTTTCGTCATTCTCATTTTCTTTTTTCTGTTGTTGTTATTGTTACTGTTGACCCAATTCTCATGCCCATTGTTTTGAAACACTCCAAGCTACTATTCAATACTGTAAAATGTATTAAATTGTGTTTCTGTAATTAATGATAAAACAACTTCACAAAAGATAAACACAGATATTTTTTAATGACGAATTTAATGAAGTTCAAGTGTTCAGAAAATTACAATCAAGACTATTTTTTGTGGCAATTTAAGTTTTGTGACAATAAGATTGAATACTGTAACATTAAAACTTCAAACTTGGAATTTGCAGTATTTCACAATGCACAATAAGTGAAAGCAGTGAAACTATAAAACATGAACTCTTTATTTCAGTTTAGTTCTCCTGTCTATAGGAAATTGTACCGATACATTCAAATATATGAAACATTACCTACCTGTCAACAAGATGTACTGAACATATGACATTTGCATAAATACTGCTTTAAAAATTTGGGGCTACCAGTGATTGATCTTGGGCTACCAGATTTAAAAAGTGGTAGCCCAGATGGACTACCAAAAAAAAAAGTTAATTTCGAGCCCTGGATGTACATGATTTTTTTTAGCAATTCAATGCACTTACAAGTCGGCAGGCGCGAGAAATTACGCTGAAATAAAATTTTATTTCTATTTCATTTTCGGCTTCTGTTCATTCGGCGGGTTCGCGAAACAAGGGATAATAAAAGTCTGGCCTTAGATGAAAAGTAAGTATGAGCATGTGTGCACTCAAGCAGGAAAGGTTTTCTACATATGACCAAATTCTTCACAAGAACAAAACCACTTGCATTAGTGGTATATTAGTTTACACACTACACGAGAGTTTCATTACCTTTTTAAATTCTGGGATAGGGTCACCTGGTTTGTTGTTCTCGGAAATAGTATGAGCACAAGCACGTCCAAATACAACCAAATCCAGAAGAGAGTTGGCTCCGAGTCGGTTTGCACCATGTACAGAAGCACATGCTGATTCACCACAAGCATAGAGACCACCAATTATGAAATCTTCTCCATTACGGTGACCAATAGCCTGAAAGCAGTTGAAACATAGTGAAACCAATATGAGCATGTCCTCGTTTATAGATATTGCCGTCGTTTCATTATTTAGCTAATGCTAAATGTTTGAAAGAAACATTAAAGTACTGAGGTAAATTTGTCTGACGAAATAAAACATTTACAGTAAACTACCTGTCCTGTGTAGTTTGTGGGCACTCCACCCATGTTATAATGTACAGTTGGTATTACTGGAATTGGTTCTCTTGTAACATCAACACCAGCAAATATCATAGCAGTCTCAGATATACCTGGAAGACGACTGTGTAACTGTTCTGGTGGCAAGTGATGAAGTTGAAGGTAGACATGGTCTTTTTCTGGACCAACTCCCCTGTAGGTACAAAACAGTGTAATTAGTTTCAGCAGTGTTGAGAGCCTGTCAAGCATTACAGATTAATTGTTGTGGGGGTGGGGGTCACAAACAAGTGCTTGTAATTTTTGTTTACCCAAAATTTGTTCAAAAGTTGTTTCTCTTCTATTTTAATAATGATCTTGTTATTCATACCTTCCTTCACGAATTTCCATAGTCATTGAGCGGGAAACAACATCACGAGATGCTAAGTCTTTTGCTGTTGGGGCATAACGCTCCATAAATCGTTCTCCTTCACTGTTTATCAAATAACCACCTTCACCACGACATCCTTCAGTCATCAAGCAACCAGCACCATAAATACCTACATGTACAAAATACAACAAATTGCAACTGATTGGCAAATTGTCTGCGACACCATGTTTCTCCCATTCATTTTCGCTATCCATAGAGCTTTCAACAAGCAATGTGCTTACACCTTGTATGCATATCCATAGAGAAGACGCGAGAGTTTACCTTCAGTTAGATTGTCTTGAAGAAGCAATAAGTATTTGGAAAAATTATATTTTATATTGACGAGTTGTGGTATAATAATTGCATCAAGCAGTAAACATAGCAGCAATCATTTGACGAAACAAACAAGAAGTCGAAAATATCACTTTTTAACAAAAATTACAAAAACATTCACCAAAATTAGAGAACTAAAAATATCATCACAAAATGAACAAATCTGAGAGAGGTCCACATGTAGTACCTATATATGTAATATCAAAGCAATTGGGCTTATATCACTATTTACCGAAAATGACAAAAATATTCACCAAAATTAGAGAATTGAAGATATCATCATGAAATGAACAAATCTAAGAAAGGTCTATGCAAGGTACATATACACCAAGTATCAGAGAATTCAGGCTTATAGTTTTCAAAAAATAAAAAAAAAAAAACATTAACACGGACGACAACTGACAATCACTCGTATTATAAGCTCCGCTCGACAAAGTCGACAGCAGAGCTAAAAAGGCATGCAAGTCTCAGATTTGACACTTGTACAATCTAAAACCAGTTAAGTTTCTAGAGAAGAAATGTTGAATGTAGGTTGACAGTCTTCCAAAACCTTAAGCAAGAACTACAATGAACCAAAGATATACAGCAGTTAGGTATAGATTATATACCGGTATGTTACCTGTTGGATGGAACTGCACAAATTCCATGTCGCTGTTAGCGATTCCAGCTTTAGATGTCATAGCCGTACCATCACCAGTACATGTATGAGCAGATGTACAGCTGAAATATGCACGTCCATAACCACTGCAAATAACAATTTATATTATTGATAATTGTATGCATGGATTGGATGTTACTTTTACAAATTAAGCGGCTATACTACAGAATTCATGACTGATATGAAGTATTCCATAATCTTTTGATAGTAAATGTGAATCAGTTTTTTAACAATTTACATTAATGATAAATGTGTTCATAGATTGAATGTTGTTTTACAAATTAGAATTCATGACTGATATGAAGTATTCCATAATCTTTTAATAGTAAATGTGAATCAGTTTTTTAACAATTTACATTAATGATAAATGTGTGCATAGATTGAATGTTGTTTTACAAATTAGAATTCATGACTGATATGAAGTATTCTATGAAATGTGAATCAAGTTTTCAAGAACATTAAATTGTTCAGCATTTTCTGTAATAGACTTGAGAGATTAATGGCATTAATTTTGTTTTATAATAGTTTGGTTTGGAAAACATAAAATGACCTTTAGATGTGTTAAAAGTGAATATACATACCCTGTAGCAAGTACTGTATTTTTGGCTCTAAATCTGTGTATGCTACCATCTTCCAAGCATAAAGCAGTAACACCACGGCACTCATCACCGTCCATTATAAGATCCATTGCAAAATATTCAATAAAGTAATGCACATCATAATGTAGAGACTGAAATAAATCAAATTGGCCAACTATGAGTCATCTTCCCTGGATGATGAATGTACTATAATCCACATTACAGGTAATTTGGCATTAGACAAATCTTCACAAGGCAGTAAAAATCACAACACATTGGGCTGGCAACTTTTGCAAAACTTTGTCTTCATTTTATTCACTCTTTTTTTAAAAAAAAAATGTTTTTGTGCCAGGCGGCAGTTCCAGACATTGAATGTTACTGTTGTCTCTCTTGATGTTCTTTCTTTCATGTGCAAATTGCAAGTGCTAGTGATGACGCATAGTGCATTTTTACCACAGAAGTCGTATTCATGTTTGGGACTCCACAACAGGGTTGTGCCACCATCTCCCTATCAAATGGCAATTCAATGCACTATCTTTGCGTCAACCAGGCTAGGTCCTGTGGACTTTAAACCAAGGTTCTCCAAAAATCACATTCTTTAATGAATGAAAGTTTACACTGGATATATACTTGGATGAATGAAATAGGCCAAAGTGGAGGCACATAAACATGCATAAAAAACAATACTAACTTGTCCATATAATGTGTGAAGTAATGAATGCCCTGTACGATCAGCAACACAACAACATCTATGAGCTTGACCACCTCTGCCATAATCATAACTTTGTCCACCAAATGCTCGCTGGTAGATTTTACCATCTGGTGTCCTGCTGAATGGCATACCATAATTTTCTAACTGTTGAAAAAAAGTTTGGAAACCTGGTTTTACATTTTAATCAATGGAGGTATGACAAATGATATGTTCATATCTGACATGGCATTTCTCGATGTAAAGTATGGATATAACTTCAATGGTTTATAACTTTATGGTTACATTAACATCTGGGGTCATTTGGTGTCATAAAATTGGCAATAGTAGGAATGAATCCCAAACAGATAGCAGTAAATATCAGCAGTGGTCAACTTCAAAGGATTTTAGTGAAGTATTATGATCATTCACAACCCTATGTGATTTATTTTCACATATACTGACTATATTTGCCATTTGTAGGGGAAAAGTTTAGTTCAGAGAAGAAAGTGAATACTTGTTCCCACTATGCTATGGCAATGTTTACTAAGGAGTGCGTAGTGATATAAATCATCCTACAATCTAACATTTTCTCATTTAGAATACTTTTGGCTAATGTGAGTTTGTCTATAAACTGTTTTCTGTTCTAAATATGCTTCGTACAGTGTTTTTGACTTGCCAAATGGATATACCATTATACACAGTTATTTTTCATAGTGCA